TCATCTATGCACAACACTGCATATACGATATAATTGAAATGTTATTATTAATTATGGCGGAATTACTTGTAGGTGCCTTTGCCGGGCTTGACGTTTCCACACAGCATACCGATTGCCCGGCCTCCAGCACCATTGTGCACTTGTAGCCTTCGGGGCATGTTTCGTTAGTGGAACAAGTCGCGGCGTTTCCGTCTTGATCGATCAGCGGCGTGCCGAGGATGCAGGGGCTCTTGTAGGTCTTCTTCGGCTTACATTCCGGTTTCGTTAGGCAGAGGAAATCAGGACAGCTGTTCTCCCGCTTTAGGACACATTCTTGCCCCTCGGAGCACGGAAATCTATGAAAATGATAGCTTATAAGCGACACACGTCCGGTGTTAATTCTTTATCTTCAATCTCAACCGAGACGTTTTTAATTTATTACATACATCATTGTAATTTTTATAATTTATAATCGCAGTATAAATATATGTTTTTTTTATCAATAAAAGATAAATAAAAAAAATAGACGAAAAATAATGAACGAATGAAAAAATTGACGAATTTTAGCTGGAAAATGAAGTACTAATTACTGTTACGAGGCTTACCCCTCGCACGGATCGTCGCATTCGCAAGTCGGGCAACCGGAAGCGTCCGTTTTGAAGCCGTACTGGCAAACCTGGGCGCACTGCTGAGCCGTGCAGGACGTCGGAAGCGAGCGCGCCTTGCTTATCGATCTGCAATCAATCTTCTCGGCGGGGCCCATGGAGCCGGATATCTTCCTACCATCGTCGTCCACGCACCAGCAGACGAGGCCGTTTCTCGAGCACTGCCTCGTCTCGAAACCACCATCTGCGCACAATTATTCGGCACTTTAGAAGCCTGACTCGCGAAGAGACGTGCGCGGATCTACCCTCGGCAGCTTCTTCCTCACCTTCCATGCACTGCGGAATGTAGCCGCGACCCTGGCGCTCGGAGACGCTGAGTATCTCGGCGAGCATCCGGTCGCGATGGCACGCGCTGAGGTTTCGGGGTATCGTGCACACGTTACCGCCGCAATTCTTGCTGCCGCAGCACTTTTGCGGCCCGGGGCACTCGAGGTCGTAGCGACAAGCCGGCCCGCACGTGCTCGCCGTCGGCTCTTCCGCGGGGCACGTGCCGGGTCGCTGTAGCTTCACGTTGGAAGGACAGCAGACCCCGTATTCCTGCTTGGGCTCCACCAGACAGCTGTACATCGGCGGACAGGTCGGTTTACCTGGCGTGTCGCCGCAGAGGAACGGCCGCGGCGAGTCGGTGATCTGCAAGGGCTCGCCTGCCGGACAGATTGTTGATAAGGATCTGGTCTTCCGACAGCTGGGTACCGGGGGGCACGGCTCCCGAAAACAACTCACGGCGATTAGCTCGCACGTCTGTCCGGCTCCCGGACAGGTAACGCCGCGACACGGATCCCTGCACTCGCATTTCGGACAGCCGGTGACTTCATCGATCTACGGAGAACGTTTAATAACGGCGTTTGAAAAGCCTTCCTTCGCACCGCAAATCAACAATAGCTGCTTTCCTTTTACACTCGAGCGATACTGAGTCACTCAGTTATGTATCTTATACTCAGATATGACGTCATTAATGTGAGTCTATTAGACTCACT